GTCATGTTTGTGAATGTTGCATGAGTTATATATGTTTAGTGTTTTAGGATGTTTTAAATATACTATGACTTATGTGTATAAGAAAGTCAATGTGAATATCATGACTATGATTTATGACATTGACAATGAATAATATGTTGTGAATTTATGAACGTTTTGTATGTGTAAGAAATCCATTAAAGTTAGAATAGCCATATCCCCTTACTAAGCGATTAGCGCTCAAGCCACGATGTTTATATGTTTTGCAGGTAAGGATTAAGGCATGAAGCTGGGAGAGGATTCCAAGGGACGCTATGAGCATGAAGGGATGTTTTAATGATGACTATTGAATGGTTTTGCTAGTATGTAAGTTAGAGTAGGTGCCCTAGAGCCAATCAATTATTGTAAAATTGACTCTGTAATAAATGTTTATTTATCAATAAAAGGCAAATTCTTCTATATCGTGTATGTAATGATATATGTCTTTAGGATGGTAAAACCGTGACGATGGTATCAAGTGTTTCAAATCTTGATAGTGAGAACCCTATGATCACATATGGTGGCCATTCTAGAAACGTTCGTAACCCCAGTATTATTCTGACCAAGGACACAAATAATACGGTAAGGCTATCATAGTGTTGAACGACCCTGTCGAAAGGCAGTGGTTGATCTCACTTGTCAAGGTTGTTTGCAGACAACCTGATGCAACGCATGGGTGCTTGCTAGAGGCAAGTTCACTGGACAAACCCACCAGAGGATTCCATATGGATAGTAAACCCAATGTCTATGGAATAAATCCTCTAACGGATGGTGGTGCATGTAATCCTTAGACTTGATATCATTGGAGTGCCTTGTGCACCAATTGGTGTAGTTTGACACTAGCCCAATGTAGTTCTATTTAGAGCTATCAATACGGTAGTGATTGGCTACATTGAGAAGTGTATCGAGACTATGGTGGATCGACAAAGGATTCATCACTCTTGGGTACGGGAGAAGTTATCTCACTGGGTAATTCAGTAAATAACAATGACAGTAAATCTGTGGCCACAGTGGGATTGAGTTATCAACTCAATCCAATTTAATATTCCTGTCATTGGTCCAATAACTGAATACAAACATGTCAAGGATATCTGAGGTTGAAACTATTTCTATATCTCAGTCTCGATGAGATAATAGCTGATGAAATGATTTGATTGCACGGTAACCAAACCGTTGACAGGTTGCGGTTTCGCTGAATCCAAATCTATCGGGTAGCCATGATGTCTTGCTAGGGGCCAATCTTGGTCTGTGTGTAGTAAGACGATTGATTGGTGTTAATCGCGATACTACATACTGCCGATATGAAGAGAAGCCTACGGGTCACATACTTAGAAGATAATTTAAGAATTAATTTGTGAGAAGGGTATTTTCGTCTTTTAGGACGAAAGGGTATTTGTGTAATCTCACAGTGCAATTAAATTTGCTGAGGTTGTTGCCTGTATTTAATTTTAATATTAAAATTAAATTAGTGAGATTATATTTAAATATATCTCTATATATAGTTAAATGAATTATTATTATTAATTAAATATTATTATATTATTATATATTAATTGATTTTAATTATAATAATAATTAATTAATTAAAATACCATAAAGGGTGTGTTTGGTTGCAAGGGTAAACTAGGGTTGGAGCCCGTTTTAATTGTTGCACTATATAAGTGCAACTTAAAAATTAAAACAAAGGAATTATTCATTCAATCAAAACCCTAGCCACCCTATCTTTCTCTCTCTCAAGAAGAAAACTTTTTTTGTTCTTCTTTCTTGATTCTTGAAGCCCTTGATTGTTCTAGCAAAATAATCAAGGGTTTTGCGGATTATCTTCGTGTGGACTTCCATGAGTGCGATCCTACTTTGGATCGATTGGCGAAAAATCACGTGAACAGTTGATGGTGAGTAGTAACCATGAACAGTTGATGGTGAATAGTAACCATGAACTGTAATTGTGAAGAGTAACCGTGAATAACATCATGAATAGTGTTCTTGTCTGAAATCAGAGATATTCGAAAGAGCCTCCAAACGTACGTAAGTATTCTAGTCCTTGAATGGATTTACTTTATACAGATTTTTTTTTTTTTTATAAACATGTAAACGGTATAATCTATACTCGGATCTAGGCAAAGAAAGGTAATTGATTTATCGATTGAATTTTTTGTTTTCCGCTACGTATGGTAGATCAATTACTTACAATTTAGTGTAGTAATTATGTTCATATTTCATAATGTAGTAAATATGTCCATGTTCTGTAATGGAGTAAATAAGTATGTGTTAGTAAAGGAAATCAAATCACTAGTAAAGTTTGTAAAAGTGTATATGTTCTAGTAATTATTACTATGGATTTCGTAATTTACACCAAGAAAGGAGACTATATTATTTGACTTGTACAATGAACTTATTATAGTTTAGAAATAAATAAATAAAAAATGTTTTTAAACTACAAGTTTATTCTTTAAATAGGATTTTAAAACAAACTTCTTTTCTGGGCGTGCGTTTTCTAGGTTCTCAATGGCCAAGGGATACTTAGGAAATACCCGGCTAGGGAGGGGTTTTACAATCTCCAACCACACATACCAAATTGGTGCAACTTTCACACCAAATTGGTGTAACTTTCACACCATTTTACTATTGCAACTCCAACCTATTGCACCAAAAAGAATATTCCTTAGAATATTCTCTTTCTCTTTCTTTCTATTAATTCTCAACAATTACTTTTTCTTTCCAAACTTCACCTTTCACTTGAAGACATAAATTTAAACACATTAGCTATTTCCAAAAACAAACCAAACTTAAACAACACAAAATCAAACTAAAACAACAATGCTTGGTTTGCCTCCCAAGAAGCGCTTTATTTTAAGTTGAAAGCTCAACTTTCCCAGTGTCCTTTGGCAATTCGGACTATCCACATATATCACACCCCAATCATTTTTCTTTACATGAGCCTTCACTCATTGATGATTCTTTGCACTTGAACTCTTTGTTAGGAGCTTAACTACCCATTGCCACCCTTTGGTCTTTCCTTTAGAGATTTAGGCATTCTCATAAGCATCATTTCTAAAATTCAAATTTCCATATGCATACTTGAACTAAGAAGATGATAAAGTGAGCTCATGTTTAGCATTGTTCTCCAGCTCCACTTTTGACTTGCATGTCTGTATACCTAAACCTTCACCGATTTGTTCCTTCTAAGGCGACTTGCTTAGTTGTAACTCATCTAGGTATATTGTACACACCTTCAGCTTATGATCTTCATCCTTAATCTTTATTGACTTGATCATGTATTCCTTAAGTGGCAATTTAGGATTATCAACCTTGGAAGTTTCAATTGCCGACTCATCCATCGCATCAATTTTGAAACATGAATCTTGCTTTGATAGGAACTTTATCACCTCAAAGACATTAAATGTCACTTTTTCATCTTGCACCCTCATAATCAGCTTCCCCTCTTGCACATCTATTAAAGCTCTTCCGGTTGCAAGAAATGGTTGTCCTAAGATGAGAGGTATCTCTTTATCTTCGTCCATGTCAAACACCTCAAAATTAGTAGGAAAGATAAATTTATCCACCTTGACCAACACATCTTCAATAATGCCCCGTGGATGCTTAATCGATCAATCTGCAAGCTAAAGAGAGACCATGGTCGGTTTGACTTCCTCGATCCCTAATTTCCTAAAAACATAAAGAGGCATTTGGTTAATGCTAGCACCTAAATCACAAAGAACCCAATCATACCAAACATCTCTTATAGTATAAGGAATAGTAAAACTCAATGGATCCTTAAGCTTTGGAGGCAGCTTCTTTTGAAGTAAGCGCTGCATTCTTCTATGAGCATCACTGTCTCATCCTTTTCCAACTTTCTCTTGTTTGAAAGAATTTCCTTTAGGAATTTGGCATAACTCGGCATTTGCTGCAATGCATATGCAAAAGGACTGTTAATTTGCGATTTTTTAATTACATCAAGGAATTTAAAGAATTGCTTATCCTGATTTGGTTTTGTAAGTCTTTGAGGAAATGGCATTATAGGTGTGTGATGTGCAAGGTTCTGTGGAATCTCAGGAAAATGTAGCTTTTCCTTTCTTTTCCTTGGCACATTCTCTTTCTTTGAATCATCTTTCTATGGCTCCACAATTTTGTCTTCCACAATGATTTCTTCATCAACTTCTTCGTCAGATTCTTCCATCTTTTCTGGAGTTTTCTCCTCTTTCCTCTTCGATTCAATTTCTTCCAACACTATTCCACTCCATAGTAAAATTGCATTTACTTGCTCTTTTGGGTTGGTCACAGTACTACTTGGCAAAGAACCTGGTGCTCTCTTATTCAACTTTTTAGAAAATTTGACTTATTTGAACTTCCAAGTTCTGAATAGATGCTCATTGATTTCTGAAGTTCGCTCTCGTCTCGATCATGAATTTCTCAAACATATCCTCCAACTTTGACACTATTTGCTCCAATGGTTGCTGATTCATCACTGGTTGCTGATTTATCACCGGTCTTTGATTTCCTTGATTACTTTAGGAAAGATTTGGGTGATTTCTTCAACCAGGATTGTAAGTGTTGGAGTATGGATTGTTTTGAGGTCTTTGATTACCAGCCAAATAGTTAACTTGCTCTGTTGATGATAATGATGAGGCAGACGTGTTCCCCGTTTCACATTCAACACTTGCATGAGCACTTGCACAAAACTCATATGTTACTTGAGGTGTTTGAACAGAATTAACTTGCACACCTTTTGTTTGTTTTTGAAGTGCTGCAAGTTAGGCAGTTATTGCGGTGTAAGCATCAACTTCATGTATGTAAACCCATAGACTTCTTTGGAATTACTCTCTCATTAGGTCTTTGATAGTTGTTACTTGCTAAGATTCAAGTAACTCACAAGCTGCAACTGGTGTCTTGTTTTGCAATGCTCTTCGGATGCTGCATCTACCATTTTTTGAACATTTGGAAGCAACCCATTATAGAAAGTTTGGACTTGCATCGAAATAGGCAAACAATGGTGTAGACACTTTCTCAGTAATTCCTTGTATCTTTCCCATGCTTCATACGAGGATTCACTGTCACTCTATACAAATGATGTGATGTTGTTTCACATCTTTGCTGAAAGAGCCGGTGGGAAATATTTTGCAAGGAACTTTTGCGCTAGCTCATTCCATGCATTGATAGTTCTAGCTAGTAGTGACATTAGCCATCCTTTTGCCTTATCTCTCAACGAGAATGAAATAGTCTTAATCTAATGGCATCATTTGTCACTCCGTTGGCCTTGAATGTATCACAAATCTCCAAGAAGTTTGCTATGTGGAGATTTGGATCATCTCTTGTATCTCCCTCGAACTGTACCAATTGCTTAATCATTTGGATGATAGCAGGCTTAATCTCAAAGTTATTTGCCTCAACAAGCGGTTTTGTTATGCTCGAACTACATCCCTCAAATTGTGGAAGTGCAAACTCCCTCAAAGTTCTGTTATCAGCCATGACTAGAGGTGGTGTCTTTTCTCTTCTCTTACTGATGAGTCTTCTTGCTGTCCTTTCGATCTCGGGATCAATAGGAATCAAAGTTTGATTTCTTGTTCTTCGCATAAACTACACAGAAAAGAAACAGAGTAAGACAAAACTAAAATTGATATAAAACTAAAATAAAGTAAAATTTAAAATCACAACTTTAACTTAGTAAAAACTAGATATTATCAAAATCAACACATACAATCCCCGGCAACGGCGCCAAAAACTTGATGCGTGTTTAACTAAAACACATGCATAATAGTAGGCACACTAATCGTAAAAAGTAAAAAAGTGGTAAAATGAGTATCGTCCCACAGAGATTGCGTATTAACTAATGAGATTTCTAATTATCACTAATTGAAGAACATAAAGATTTTGGATTGATGGGAGAAAATATGAATAAAACTAAAAACAAAGTAATAAAACTTGGTAGAATTTAAACAACACTAAATTAAAGCAAATGGATTAAACTTCTTAAAACAAAGAAGTTAGGGCTTTTAACTTCACCAAGTTAAACTAACTTAACCTATGAATTCCAATTATTCAAATTGTATTGTGATGACTAAAAATCGAACTCTCTAAGATGTTTGGCACTCCCTCTCGGGTTATACCATTCCACCTTTCCTATTAAGCCTCTGCACTCAAAATTTGAGGCTTAATAGTTCAAGGCCTCTTAAGCGTTGTGGAATCCTATAAAGATTACAAAGGTCGTGTTTATCTATCTCTAGTTTTCGCTCAACCTAAGGTATCTATCCTTAGAAGCCACACATGAATCGCTTCTTAGCCTCAACATGTTCAACAAGTCATTTGAATGAAAACCCAACATCCAAACACAATAAAAATGGAGATAAACACTTAATCACAACAATAAGAAATTCATAGATTAAACAAGTAAAATCAAGGATTCATCAAAACCCTAACTAAAACAGGTTAGTTCATGAAAAAAATGAAATATAACATAAATAAAATAGAGAAATCCGAGTTCAACATAAAAGAAATTGAAAAGAGAGAGAAATCTTCTCTAGTTTGAAGCCCAAATCTTAAATCTTTCTTCTCCTTTTCTAAACTCTCTTAAAAATGAAAAACTTCCCTTCTAAAATAACTAACTTTCCTTTTGTACTAACCTAAAACCCTAGGACAAACCGCCTATAAAGCAAAACGATGAGTATTAATTTTTACAAATTTTCTAGACTTTGCCACGACAATGAATTTTCCTTGCCACAGCAACGGGTTGTCACCAAGAATTTCCAGGAGAACTGATGCGTGTTATTTCAAACGCATATTTAGCAAGTGCACTATTCGCAAAAGTAAGAAAGTGATAAGTAGAGTATCATTCCCATGAGGATAGTGTTACTAAGTACTGCTTTCTCTAGTTTAAGTCCTAATTGAAGCAACAATAAATTGGATTGATGGCAATTTAACAACTAAATACAAATTAACAACTAATAAATGATAAAAATGAAATTCAAAAAAAAAAACCCAAAATCCAAAAAAATAGTGCTAAAAATAGCTAGGGTGTCGATTTCACCTAGATATGCTAACCCAAATCGTAGAATCTATTACCCAAGTTCTAATTCCTTGATTGAAAATCAAATTCCCTAAGTTGTTTGGTACTCCTTCTCAGGTTATACCACCCTACATATTCCTATTAAACTTCCGCACCCAACAAAATGAAGTTTAATAGTTCAAGGTATCTTAAGCTTTGTGAAATTCTATCTAGATTTCATAAATTGCGTTTATCTATCTCTAGTTTTCGCTCAATATATGGTATTTATCCCAAGAGGTATATATCACAAATCACTTCTCAGTATCATTGTAAATAACATATATTTGAATGGTGATCAAGCATCCAAAAGTCATTAAGCAAAGAGATAAATACTCAATCGTGAAATTAAAACTCAAAGTAAATCAATTCATATAAATTTGAATCATTGTATCAAGGTTACATCAAACCCTAGCTAAACAATTCAGTTCATACTCAAAAACAAAATAAAATAAAATAACAAACTGAATCAAGGTTCATCATTGAAAAACAAGCAAGAGATGGAGAAATCTTCTCTAATTTGAAGCCCAAATCTTCAATAATCTTTTCCTTCCAAGAGCTACCTCCCAAATGATGAACCAAGGCCCTTTTCCGTTCCTTTTCATGCCAATTTATACCCCTCTCACTTAAGGATGAAGCCCTAGCAAGCCAAAATGTGTTGTTTTATTTTTTCACATTTGACACAGTTTCTCCGCGGCGAGGATATTTCGGGCAAAATTTGAGCATGATAACATCTGAATCTGGAAAAAGTGGTGAACATATGAGTTGTATCCCTTTCAATTATATTTCTACTCATTTAAGAATAAGCCTAATCTGAGGTCTACAGGTTAATTTATGGCCAAAATACTGAAGTTTGTCCAAAGACATTTTTCTTCGGTTCCCAATGTGCTGTTCATGACTCCAAGCCAATTGTTCACCCTCTTCCAATCAGAATTGGGAAAAACCTAAAACATGAAAGTTGTAGCTATGCTTCTTAGCTTTCCATATCTTCTAAATTCAGGTTATTATTAGTTCTCAAGCTCAAGTTACGCAATTTATGCTCAACACCATCATTTATGCTCAAAATCATCATTTAGGCCGTGAAAGAAAAATTAATAGAATTAGGTAGGAATTATCGCCCAAATTGTATGAGAAGTATCCTAAATCCTTTTGAAATTCAATGCAAAATCTTAAGGAAAGATAGGATTATCAAGAACCTTGCCACGACGAAGTTCTAATTTTCTTATGCTAAAATTATAGAACTGCCCTTAGCTTGCTTTTTCACTTTAATCTTCAATCTTCTTAAATTCTGGTCAGGTCAAGCTTCAAGGGTTCTTCCAATCAACCTCAGAACTTCTCCAATCTTCTGAAATACGCCAACGAACTCAAATTTGCTCGGTTTCACTCCAAAAGCACGTTTAGGCATGAAACATAAAATATACTGAATTAAGTAACAATTCAGGTCCGAATCCAATGAGAAGTATTCAAAAACGCTAATAAAATCAATTAGAAATTAAGTATAATCATAGGATTATCAGTTAGTTACTTTTTTTTTTTTTTTTTTTTTGTGTAATGGTTTTCTTTCATTTGTGTATTAGCATTGAATTTTTTATGGAAAAAATTTTTAGGAAAAAAGGGGAAGTTTTTAGATTTCAATATTTTGTTATAGGTAAATGATTGTGGTCCCAAAATTTTGAAGAAAAATAATATATAGATAATAGAAATATATAATCAAGGGGGGAACAGTACGCAAATCATGGCTTCACTTTGACCCCAAGTTGTTTGAGGATTGAGGTAATTATTTATTTTAATTTATTTTATTGCTTTAATTTGAATTGATGAATTTTTTAATTTGTTTTATGGTTTTAATTTGAATCGATGAATTTTGTTATATGAATTTTGTAATAAAGTTGATACAATGCTATGGAAAAGATAAAGAATAGTTGAAAAATTTAGAATTTCCATAGTTTTTATAGAATTCAATTCGTTAGATAATTTATTTCTTTGTATTTAGATATGGAAAAATATTTTAAAAGAAAGTCAATTCCTGAGACATCTCAACTTTCTTTTGGTGTCAATGATAATGAAAACCAACCTTCTTTAGAAAAAAAAAATTTGCTTCGAAGTTGACTTGGAAAATCTTCCTTCTAATCCTAGATTTCGATCAAGAATTACATTTTATCATCCTAATGTTAGAGACCAAGTCAGAATGCATTATCTGCAAAAGGGTCCTTGTCAACCTTGCAACCATAAGTTTCCCAAATCAAAATCTAGTGATATTGAACAAAGTTTCCAACGTTCTTGGTTTGACAAATATCCTTACTGGTTGGAATATAGTGTTGAGAATGATGCTACATATTGTTTATGTTGTTATCTTTTCAAACCAGATAAAGGTGAGCAAAATGGCAGTGATTCTTTTGCTCTTGATGGGTTTCGCAATTGGAAAAGACTTGAAAATTTTTAATATCATATTAGAGGTCCTAACATCTATCATAACCAAGCTTTGAAAAATTGTCAAGCTTTGACGAATCAAAAACAGCATGTGAGTACAATTATTAACAAGAAATTTGACAAACAGCGAGAAGATTATCATATTCGGTTGAAAGGATCAATTTTTGCTAGTCGGCTTCATCTTCAACAAGGATTGCCTTTTCGTGGCCATGATGAGTCTGATAATTCAATGAATCGAGGAAAATTTCTTGAACTTCCACACTATATAGTTGAGCAAAATGAAGAATATAGATTAGTAGCATTGGAGAATGCTTCTGGACATGATAAATTGATTACTCTTATAAGGATTTACACGAACAAAGAGTGGAATAAAGAACCAAAATTTTTGTTCGAAACCCATTTAATCTCGGATCATAGATTGATGTTAAAAAAAAAATATACTTAAAAGGAAGGAGAATCGTTACAATCAAACCTTCGATTGGAGGCTCCCCCGATTTTGATCAAAGAGAAACACTATCACTTCAAAGGAGAAGCGAACACATGGTAATCCACACTGTTAAACCCAAAATATGGCTAAATATTCCTAGAAAGGTGGAGGGGGGGGGGGGGGGGTGTGAATAGGA